TATCTCTACTGTCTAACGTTAGCAAGATATTTGAGAGATTAGTTTTCAATCGTCTAGTTCTCCATCTTGAAAAAAACAATTTTTTTAACAAACAGCAATTTGGCTTTCGAGCAAATTCATCCACTGTCGATGCACTCAATTTTCTTGTCAGCCGCCTCTCGCCTTTCGCAGATAAGAAAGGAAAAATAGCTGGAGCTGCATTTGACTTTATGAAAGTCTTTCATAGAGTTCCTCGCCAAATTCTGCTTTCAAAATTAAATTCGGCAGGTGTTGATGAGAAACTTTTCGACTGATTTGGCTCATATCTTAATGGGCGAACTCAAAGGGTAAAAATGAACAACCTCCTTTCCCAAGCAATATTAGTAACATCTGGTGTTCCGCAAGGATCGAATTTGGGCTCCTGGCTCTTTTTGATATTCATAAATGACATTGCAGAACGCCTCAAGCCTACTACCCTATTTTCTCTTTTTGCCGATGATCGCTTTTGTGCCGTATCTCTCCCGTCTGATAATAGCCTGGATTCCTTTCGAGCTGAAGGAACTAGCATTCACACTTGGTGTGAAAAGATGCTTGTCAACTTAAATATTGATAAGTGTCAGTGGATGATTTTCGACCGTATTTCTCAATCACCAGCTATTGTCAGGTTAGAAGAAGTTCCCCTTTAGCGTGTGAGTGAGATCAAGCTACTCGGGCTCTACATTTCTTATGATCTAAAATGGGCTAGTCACACTGAAAAAGTCGCGATGAAATGCAGACGAATGCTGGGTGTGATACATCGGACTTTTCGAGATGCCCTGTCGAATTGAAAAAACATCTCTATGAGACTTGTGTAAGACTTGTCTTTGAATATGGAGTAGTTGTCTATGATAGCTCATATTCTACCCATTTATAGTCCTTAAATTCTTGCTGCTCGTATCATAAGTGGCGACTTTGTCTCTTCTTCTTCAGAAGTCTCAGAAAATTGCCCATTCGAATGCTTGACGCGACGGAGAAAAATTACCCGCCTGAAATATTTCTGGAAAACGTTGATGGGATGTACGGGTCTGGCCCGTTTTTCCTTTATTTCGTTTTCAACAACACGGCATTCTCCTCGCAAACACTTATTTCAAATTGAAGTACCTAATTTTTCTACATCGGTCATGAGTCATAGTTTCTTAATTCGGACAACAAAGACTGGAACAGCTTAGCGCCCGATGTTGTGACACTCTTCTCTCAATCTATTTGTGTTAAAAATACAGCAGTTCCTCTAAGAACTAGTAATGTGTAATTTGTAATTTTTATTTTTATTTTTGTGTGTACTTGTGTACCATGGGATAGACGTCTATAAGCCTCCAACTTTTGTCTATACCCTTTCTCTTTGCCGCTGAGAATAAATAAATAAATAAATAAAACGAGAAAATATTTTTCATCAAAAACAGTCAAATTTTTGAAGAAAGAAACTGAGGTACAGGTGTGTCTTTGACGAAAACTATTTTTCTCTAAAACATATGTCATTTGACTCAGTTTTTATGCCGATTCCGAATATGACATTTATTTTGCTCCTTAATAAAAGTATAATGGTCATAATTGCTAATACGAGCGAATTTTTTTTGTTTTTTCTTTTCTTAGTCTGCTTCCCACTTCCTTCGTATGATGGATTACTCTACTTTATAGCGCATGATTTGACATTAAACAAATATCTTCGAGATATCGTCGACTATCACGATAAGATGAGGAACGCGTCTTTGTGATTTAGTTATTTCTTCGGGTATTTTTCCTTGTAAATATAAAACAGTGCACATGAACGCATTTTTGTATTACTTAAACTAAAGTACAGAGTTGACTAGAAACAGAATTACTATGGTTGATGGTTATAAACGCCAAAACAGTCTAACTGCTTTACATGACGCTGTTTTGCAAAACTCATTAATAGAACTGAAAGATTATATGGACGATGGCATTCCACTTAATATAATGGATCACGAGGGAAAAACACCACTGTACTATGCAGCAGAAGAGGGATATTTCCCTCTTCTTCAGTTATTAGTGCTCGGTGATGCGGATGTCAATATTACAGACAAGAATGATTCATCACCTCTCTGGATCGCTTCACATCGTGGTCATGATGAAATTGTTCTCTATTTACTACAGCATCAAGCTAATCCTAATCAACAATCCAGCGATCAAACAACACCTCTCTATTGGGCTTCATACAACGGGCATCCGAAATGTGTTTTTCATTTAACAGCCTTCCATGCTGATCCAAACATGTGCAAGAACAGTGGTGCTAGCCCTATATTTGTGGCTTCCCGCAATGGTCATCATCGTATCGTTAAACGATTATTGAAATATAAAGCTGACGCAAATAAAAGTCAACAAGATTTGCGTACTCCATTGCACACCGCACTGTTGTATCATCGAAAACGATGTGTAAAGCTGCTATTAAAATGGAATGTTGACGTTAATTTAACGGATATGTACGGATGGACAGTATTACATTTCGCTGCTAATTGTGGTAAATTAAAGGCAACAAAAATAATTATTAATGAATTAAAATTACGAGATATATTTAATCCACATTTGACCGATAATTTGGGCAATACAAGTCTTCATTTAGCAATATCACACAATCATTACACTTTAGCACGTTATTTTATATCACAAAAATTTGATATTAATCAACCAAATTGTCATGGATGGACTCCTTTGAGAGTTGGCTGCTTAGAACGTCCACGTGAATGTAATACTAGAAAAAGAGAGTTTAATAGGGTAATTTCCTAAACGAATGAGCCTCTTCATGTGGCAGCCATGATGGGTGATGAAAATCTAATAAAGTTAATGATTAAGAATAATGCAGATTGTACTCTTGTTACAAAGGATAATGAAACTGGCTATCAGATAGCTATTCGAAATCGACAGTATCCAGTTATTAGTTGTTTAATGCCACTAAACGAGATAAAGTGTGAACCGTTTCTTGATTTAGTATCAAATGCTAAAACGTTTAGGGACTATTTAAAATATTTGTTAAAAACGGATGGCATGGGACTTTTAAAATACACTCGCGAAGAACAGTTAATAAAAACTGAAGTGGAAATATACGTCAAACAACTATTGTTTCATGTTGAACAAATGGATCCATTGTTCAAATTTAAAGTTATTCCTAGTGGCAGCTTCTACGAAAACACACGAGTGGGATTTCCGACAGAATTTGATTTCATGATTGATTTGATTTATATTGGATCGTTATGTGAATTTTTTGAAGTAGAAGAGGTAGATCCACCTGGTTTTGGAAGATTACGATTGAAAAGTTCCACAGCACGTGAAGAATTAGAACAATTTATTGAACCTGTTACACAGTGTTTATCATCAGGAAAAGTGAGAAAACGTTTTTATCACTTGCTAACATCAGCTAGAAGTCATGTGATATGTAAAGAATCAATGAAACTATTTCATAATTTAAAAATGCGATGGACAAGTGGTGATAAAAGATGTGGAACAGCCATACACGCTGAATGGTGTGGAAGTCAATATGCTAACCTCTTAATCAAAATTGATATTATCCCATGTATAACTGTCCAAGGATGGCCAACATCCGCTAATGTAGCATGCCCAGCAGGTACTCAATATTTTCACGTTATTGCCAGAAGTACAGCGTCACATTTGACCTATTTATGGCGAATATCAACAACATCGACTGAAGTCAATTTTTTTCAAAATTTATCCATTGAAAAAAAATGTGGTTATGCAATATTGAAAATTATACGAAATGCAATACCCTATCAATGTAGTATATATCAAGGAAAAATGAAAGTTGATTATGGTATAGAAGATCTGTTAACATCATATACATTAAAAATGGAATATCTATTTGAATTAAAAAAGTATCCAAATGATAGCGATTGGATGCGTGGAAATTTTTGTTATCGGATTATGTCCATTTTTAAAAGAATATACAAACATTTACAATTGAACAAAATCATGTCGTTTTACATTAGAAATTACAATGTTTTAGATAGTGAAGAGTTTTTATTAATACGTCCACATGAACTCAAGTATGTCCGCTCAATTTTAACTCATTTGAAACACAAACAACTGGAGAACAAAGCAGCTAAACGTCTAAGAAGTAATAGTTGTTCGACTCCGAAAGTTGTTCAGATTCCGAAGAAATTTCTTCTTAAAGAACGCGCAGAAAGTTTTGAATTGTAAAGCCACGAATTACACTTATTCTACTTATTCGAAGTTTTTCAGTTTGTTTGTAAATATTTATTGAGGTTTGCTTAATAATCGTGATTCGAGTAGTAAGTTCGATTAAGCTTCTTACCAGAAAAGAAATGCCTTAGGCATAGCAACTAGTTCCGTCACGCCTATAATCCTTCATCTCATCTCTACGTCTGCCTAGCCTTCTAGCCAGAGCTGCAATTGATGACTAGTAACGGGATGGATGACCATTTCAGAAGCTTGTCAACTGCAGGGAAGATATGGGGCTAATGAAGCCCCTACACCATAACGGTAACCGCAAGGCGGGGTATTCTCTTCTATTTAAGAGACTATAGTTTCAGAGAGTTTTTTAAATTTGAGCACCCTGCTAGTCCTATGAGTGGATCTATCTCTAAGTGTTCTATAATATTATAGTAGACCCTGCAGATATAAACATAGGTATATTGAAAAACATATTTTCAATTTTAGGCCTTAAAACGATGAACCTAATTTTAGGAAAAAATAGTGGAGCAGCCTACCTATTATCTTTTTATAACATGAAAATCCTTCAGGACAAAAGTTCTTCGGAAAATTGGGTTAATGATTGCGGACAAGCATGTCAAGTAAAAAGTAAAGAAAAAACCTTTTCCAAGTAGAACTAAGAGATACTTTAGATTTGACGAGCGGACTGATGTTTGAACGTTCCTCGAACTATCTTCTGACCTGGATTATATATTGGCGTCGCCAAGGGCATCTCATTCATCGGAGAGGGAGGAGGGCGAATAGTGAGAGTAAGTGAAAAAGCTTAAAATCAAATATATGAAAATTGATATTGACAATCCTTGCGGATGTTAGTGAGAAGATCACCCGATATTTAAACAACTCAATCTGCCGAGATCACTTATACAGTCTACCGCAATGTTAAACTTCTTTAAACTCACCTGCTGAAACTATCGTTTGACTGACTGTTCATCATGACCCTGAATACTGGAAATTTCTCCTTATTATAAGTTTTTGTTATATCAATTTTCATATAGGAGATTTTCAGCTTTTTCACTCTCACTATCCACCAACTCTCCTCTCTCCCCGATGAGAAGATGCCCGCCAAAATGCTGATATACAATCAGAATCATGCTACTCAGTAGCTCCAAGTTGACACTGCCAGACACCTGCTGGGAGTGCCAATAGCTTCTTGTTGACACTCCTAGAAGTGACAATACCCATTCCGATAAAAAAATAAGAAATTATCACGAATTTTTATCAAGAAAATGTCGACATACTACTCATGTTCTCTTGCATCCATACATTAAATTCTAAAAGGTTCATTTTCAAAACCGAAAAGACATATATCATTTAGAAGAACAAGATCAAATATTGAACAATGCATCTTTACAAAATAATTAAGACTATGCCTTTTGCTGCACGTGTCAAGTTCTTCGTTGATATATTCTCTTTTTTCATTATTCATAGATATCCTAATCGAATAGGATTGTTACAAAAAAATTAAGCCTTAAAAGATATTAATAACTTTTTCTTTATTTATAGTCTTTTTCTATGAAATAAAATGTTTTTCTTTCTAGTTGTTGTTGATCAGTCAACAAATCAAACTAAAATTGAAATGAATTTGTATACACTTTTCCATTATCGCCCTTCGTATAGAGTGACTTCTTTTTACGCTACGGAAGAGGCACAGGACTGATCTGAGGCCTCGATCGACGTTCGTAACAGAAAAAGATTAAGCGTTAACAGTCATTAGATTCTCAATCACATCGACTACAATTCATACCTTTCTAATTAGCCCTAATTAGAAAGGAGAGCTACTCAACGCTGAAAACACAACACTTCACTACACTATACTTTTTCCACTACGGTAGTGGCGTTGTAGTGACTTTGTAGTGTTCACGTAGTGGCTGTGTAACGGGGTATAGTAGATTTGTAGCAGTTGAGTAGTGGATGTGCAGTAGGCTGTGGTGGACTGTAGTAGTTGCGTGGTGGGCTGTAGTGTCTGTGTACTGGGGTGTAGTGGACAATCCCTTGTAGTGTAGTGTAGTGTTGCTTTTTCCCCCTCTGGAACTGCTTCATTACAATGGAATTGTTGCATACAAATGATCAAAACGGAATCAGTTGCGAATCTTTTTTACTAAAATCTCTTAAAAACCGCTCAAAATACCCGTCACTTTTACAGAAAGGCAGGAAAAATAGACATAAACATTTTTTAACCATCACCATTGGAAAGAGTGGATCAACTAGAATACATATTCCATCGGCATACCATTGAAGGTGTTCACTATGCGCTAGCCAAGTCTGAGGATATATTTAGGGGGCGAACCCTCACCTCCTTAAGTGTCTTCGAATAAGACACATTTTGCCCAAGACATATTCCAGGACACGTGTTCTCTACAGTGTAGTGCGTAGGCCAGCGGTGACCTTACAAAAATGCCAGTGGGTTTCTTAATGCTCAGCGTCTAGAATCTTGTAATTCTAACGGCCTGAAGCTGTCACTTTTGAAAAATCTATTGTCATCTTTCACTAAAAGCATCAAGTGAGGTTCTACAATCTGAGATTTGTCAAATAATGGATACTAGAATGTAGTCCTCATCCTATCGACGATCCTTTTCTGATGGTACGAAGAATTAATAACAATGGGTTTTCACATAATATGAACGTACTCATTTCATGGAGCAGTGTACACAGTTATTGGGTCGCTTCATTTCCACACAGTATCATATGGTTCATCAAACTATTTATATAACTAATGTTAAACTACCGCCTATACCTTTACATTTTAACTTGGACACCACCCTTTCAACCCATATCTTATCGAACGCTTTGATTATATCAAGAAAAACTCTTTAGTTATATTTTGATTCCCAATGCACAAAGCAATGTGGTGCACAACTCCACTTAGTTGCAAGATGGTCGAATTCTTCTTCCTAAATCCTGCCTGATCACACTACAAAAGATGACTCTTTGAAAACAAATTTTGAAATGTTGCATTGATTTTTGTTAAATTGATTTTTCCACAGAAAACACCAATTCAGATCGATCGAAAATCAATTTAAATGCAACATTTAAAAAAACATTTTTACATGGGTGCGCCGCTACTGCGGGAACGCCTAATTTGTTTGGGAGGATAAAATAAAAGAAAACGGAAAAAATATTCTTCTCCTCGCGACAGCGGCGCGGTAAACGTTTTTGAATATCATCGCGGCAGCAACAACGTTTTTTGGTTCAACAAGGCGCGGCATCGATCTGTGAAAATAGCTACGGCGCCGCAGCAGTAAGTCTCCTGTTGCAATGAATATCCCTGATAGGCAAAACGTCAGCCCTATCGGCATCAAATATCTGCAACTGTTTCCTTATGACAAACTTACTAGTCGATATAGGCAGTCAAGAAGTTTTCCACATTATCAATAAAAGATAACAGGCGAACTGAAGAAAGAGAATAGGAATTTTACTGTTTTGTTACTGGTGAGTAATTGATTTTTATGAGTAATTATAACGATGTAAAACGAGATCCCGTTCTTCACTGACAAGAACTCGATCACGTTGTTCTTTTACGAGAGTAACTCGATACATTGCTGGTAACATCTTACGCAAGTAAGTCGTTAGGATTACTTCGTCGTGGTTTTGCCGTTTGTCACGCGTGTTATCAAATTAATAGAACAGAATAGAGTCTTGAACTTATAGTTTTCACTTACTATAACATTGTTTAGTGTAAAGAGTCAATCAGACTGAATTATATAAGACGAATAGATGTGTAAATGAGGTCTTGTATAAAATTATATGGTTTGATAAAGCACTCAATTTTAAATTCTATTCTCAAAACCATGTTGCTGTGATTGTGTGAAAAGAACTGAAATGGGTAGAATATTCTCTTGCGACAGTGTCATATTTCACTCTGCGAAATCAGTTGATCACATCGATGATATGGGACACGATGAGCTTAGTAAAGGTTTCTCGTTCATTAAATAGTATGTTCTTATCAATTAGTTGGTTTAAAACGCACATCACACATGTTAGTTACATAAACAGCTCATACCTGTAACAATTTATCGTTCTGTTTTACTTCAGACAGCAATCACAATGAAAAGAAAACTGGCGCAAAAAACACACGACTGTTAACGTTTACATAAAGGGAAGAAATCTGAAAATCAGCGTGCATTTAAGTAGTACTCCATGTACGAAAACAAAAATCATGAAGCAGTTACTTGCATCTAGGTGAAAGAGCACATTTATTTAGATGCACGCTGGTTGAATAGTGTTCATGCTCAAATGATCGATGCAGCGACCGATTATTATTCAACACTATCAGATAAGATTTTTGTATTTCTGGGTCATCTCTCGTCACAAAAAAGACATCAGGTCCAGCTTTATGAAACGTCCTGAACTTGCTTGTATATAAGTGTGAATGTTTCTATAGTTAAAACAACTTAGAAGTTTTTTTCCCTTGAACATAACTGCTTTAGAAGAAGTTTATGATTACACATGGTCGTATATATCGGATAGTTACAGCTATTATATAAAAAAACAAAAAATATAAAGAGTTGCCCAAGATCCTCGAAGACCTTGAGAGAAAGATCCAAGAACCCAGAATGTTGACTTCTTTGGTTTTATTCTAAGATCGTATGACATTTTTTAATCCGGAATCTTTAACAAGATCTTGGATAAAAGAAATTCCATTTGGATACGTGAACCGCATAGTTTTCATTCAATGTCAGTATCTCAAACGTGATTATTCTTATACGTTGTTTCTCGTTACCAAAATACATGGTATCATAATAACAGCCTTGCTGTGTACAAAACTAAAGAAAAGGTGTCGTATTTGTATTCAATTATAAATTCATCCCAATCCAAACAGAAGCCAAAAAGAAAAATATTGAGCCAATTTTTTGGACTCGAGAATATCTCTATATGCGACTTGCAATCGAAGGATTATCTGGATTTTTCTACCAAACTATGATCTTGCAATGATAGTTTCTATTTTTCCAGGATATCTGAAGATATGC